TTAACAAGAAATTTGAGATCTTTTAATTAGTTGAAGAAGCCTATTTTGATGTTGTTGCTACGTGAAATACTAGACCAAGTAGTTTTGACAAGTGAAGAGAAATATTTTTGTTGAACCAATAAGAAAATTTTCGGAATGGCACAAGGCCCTATAAGTCATTGACTGTCTTGAGACTTATTAGATTATGATCAAATAGAGATCTTGGATGACATTTTTGGATAATCAAAAGGCAAATAAAAAAGAGCTCGTTATTGATAAGGAATCTATCCAACCTACAACTGATAAGGGATTCCCTATTGTCAGTTTATGTGAACTTTCTACCCATTATTGGAAGGTCCATCATTTGCATGCCATTGATGAATTTGGCAAAAGATTCCATACCATGCACTACTTGATTGCCTTTTGATTTTTCCTTTAGAGATTTAATGATTTCAAAGTCACCAATTATGACCTAATGAGTGTTAGAATTGCTTTTTAAGTTAACCAATTTTGACAAAAAAAATCACACTTAATAACGTCATTAGGCCCATAGACATTATTAAAAGTGCAATGAGTATTAAAAGAGGCAATTAATCCAGTAATAAGAATATTCCTTTAAGTTATCACCGAATTGTCTAATTTGAAAAAAAATTATTAGACCATATACTAATTAAACCTCCATCCGAACCTATAGAAGGCGATCGATAACAACTGAAATCACCGTTTCTCCAAAAGGTTTTAAGAAGTTTGTTACTCATGTCCTGTTATTTGGTTTCTTGGAGAAACATAATTTCAGGTTTGAGATTTGAGATAAGTTGCTAGGGAGCTCATTTTTTGACTAGGTAACCAAGTCCCTTGATGTTCCATGTGAGGATGCAAACCATAAGGATATGAAAGAGACGTTTGAGAGGGGCAGGGGTTTAATATCCCTTTCCCATGATGACATTTGGAGCAATTGACACTTTCTCTATTTCTACCAAATTGCCAATGGTTGTCACCTTATCAAGTTCGAAATCCGTTCCTATTGAAATCCATATATCTGATGTTTGTGTAGCTTCACTAATAGTAACTTGGTTTTTAACTTGTTTAACATATTCTGTGATAAAGAAAGCTAAGTCAGAGTTGAGGAAATCACTACAAGCAGCCTCATTGATAAGTTTTGTGAGGTTTTTTCTTTTTCACTTCTTAGTTTCTTTACTTGCTTTCTCATGTCCCTTTTTCTTTGCTCTGTTTTCCTTATCCACAAATGATGTCTTTATTGACTTATGCGTTCTTTTAAATCGAATAACAGCCATTTTCTTTTTCATCTTCTTTGTTTTGGTCTTTAACTTTCTCATTATAATTTCTAAAGGTATTGAGTGGGTTGGGGTGGAGTGTTTAACCAAGCGAAGGGCTTGTGTGAATTTTTTCCTTTTTTTGTTGAGAGGATTAGGTTTTAGTGTCATTTGGGGTAGGTAGAGTTTGAGAAATGGTTCTTTTAGAAGAGAACACTAGGCTAGTGTGAAGAGAATTTAGATAGGTTTCTGTTAGAAGTGGCTTTGTTGGGTTTAGGTTTTGTTGGGCAAGTTGGTTGGCAGGCTAAAGGTATGGGAGTGTGATAGACTTGGGTTGAGGGTATTGTTTGAACAAGTTGAGTTTGGGGTAATTCGAGGGAAAGCTTGTGCTGTGTCCAGTCTTTTTGGGATTTTGTGTGGACAGGTTAAAATAAGTGATAAGAGGGTGACAGTTGGTACTTGGGTTTTGGGTTTTTGGTCTCAACTATGGATCTTGGATTTAGCAAGTTTTGAACTTCAATTAACTGAGTGAGATTTTCATTGTAAGCTCTAATAAGAGCCTTACTAGGTTCACTGCTGGATGTAAAGTTCTCCCATCATTTAAATTGGGAGAGATTTTTGGTGTAGCTAAGTAGTGGTGGTTGACTTGGCGATTAGGTGGCGGAAGCACGATGTTCATGCCAAGAGGGAAGGAAAGGGATGTCCACAGTAAGTTCAATGGTTATAGCTAATTGGCACTTATCCTTATTAATTGAACAAAAAGCAATGGGGGATAAAAACTTTCTTTCTTACCAAAAGGAAAATCTAGGCAACATCAAGTCTCTTTCTCTTAATAGTGTTGTCATCTATGAGAGTGAAGGTATCCTAAATTTCTTTGATTTTCCTAAAAACATTATCTGACCATAGGTTGAGTGGCAAGTCTTCAACTCTTAACCATGAAAACCTCTCTTCCATTTATGTGAAATTTTCTTATCAGACCACTTTTTTTAAATCACAAGTCAAGCCACACTTTGTAGTAGCCAAAACATGATTCAAGGTCCTCTAGATGGCAAAAAGTAATGATAATTGTGATTCCTCCCATTCTTCTCACCACAAATTGAAAACCGTTAGAGGTGAAGATTTTTTGGAGAATATGGTGGTCCACGTAATGAATGATGGTGCTAACAACGCTTCTCTTAAGCCATCCCGTCTCATTTGTGCTAACTTCAATAACATGGAAAGGTTATTGTTGTGGTGTTGGAACTTCATGGGTTGGATGGGGGGAGTTTGGCTTCGTATTGAGGACCTCTTTGTATGTTTTTTCATCTTTAAGGGAGCTAAAAGGAAGTTTATTTGGCAATTTGCCATTATGTCTTGAATTAGTAGTTTCAAGCTGCTTGGGTGTTGGGGCTAGTCCTCTATGGTCCCAACCATGGGTGGCTTATTTGACAATGATGGTGTGGCCATCAAGGATGGCTCTGTTTGCATGCTTTATGACAAACTCCATTTCCCATGTGTCTCAATATCAGATGAAAGCAAAAGTGGTTGGTGAGCTTCCTTTTAGAACGGTAAAAGATGAAGACATCTCTCACTTGAGTGTAATAGTTGGAAAAAGTCTTTAAGGGTGGTTTTGGTGACGCTTCGATTGAGATTATCAATGTGGATGGTGAGAATGGTGGAACGCCAATCATGTTGGGGTAAATTCTGGGTTGTAATTGGTTTGATGGGCTGGGTATTTTGGGAGCGATTTATTAGATTGAAAGGTGGCAGTGGTGGGGGTTGGTGGCCTCGATATGTGTGGAAGGGCGCATGGATAGTGGGGTAAGAGTAGGGCAAGGTGGCGTAACTGTGTGGTTAGATGGCAAGATGATGACGGATTGGGTGGGATCTTAAACGGTGCATGGCTTTCTCTAGTTGTCTTCAAACAAAAAAAGGAGAGGGGGGGATTATTTCTGCCCACCAAACTTGAAATCCTCATTCCACCATTATTAATAACAAATTCGAAAATTGGACTACTTAATTTAAATAGAATTTAGGTTTTGAGTTTTTTTTAATGAATTTGTAATTGGAAGTAAACTGGGTAAAAAGTTGAGGAAAAAGGTTTGGAGTTGGAAATAGGAGTGACACTTTGGGAGCTAAGGAATTCGAGAGAGGGAAAGTCGACTACCATGTTGAGCCATGGCAATTGAGCTTTTGTTTTTTTCAAAATTTCTCTTTTTTCAGAATTTTTTATTTTTTTTATATTTTTATTACTATTAGTTTTTATGCATTTCTATTTTTATTTTTATTTTCTAAATCCAATCTGGACTGTTAAGTCCTAAGGGCCAATTAACCCATTAGGATCCAAAAATAGTTAATACATTGGGTACTATGCCCAATTAATAAATTAGATTTTAGGTTCAATTATCTCACTAGCTCATAAAACCTGATTAGACAGTAGGACTTAAATTCAATTTGTTAATTCAAAATAAAATGGTACAAAACATATGAAATAATAGATGAAACATTAAATTAAAAAAATAGAGAAAATTAAAAAACATAATGGTTAAGCATAATAATTAATTGAAAGTCCGGAGAAAATGAAGTTTTTACATGTTTACTGTAATATTATAAATCACTAGTGATTTTAAAAATCATCATTTTTGATAAGGTATAGAAAAGAAAGATCATCAAATTCAAAATATATCCAAATAATAATAATAATAATAAGATTATTTTAAAAGTAAGTAACATTTTCAATTTTACTAAATGAATAATTTATAAAATAAAAATCTATTGTTCTATGAAGAATTATAAGACTCGAATTAGTTTTAGTGAGTATAATTTTATAAAATATTCAATTATAAATTATTGACATGATTAATAAAAGCCAAATTCACATATATTGCTTTGTAATTGAGTTAAAAATAAATGAAGACTTACCTATAAAAATTAAAACCTAGAAGAGAAACGCATTTATATATATATATATATATATATATGTGTGTGTGTGTACCAGGGTGAATTTACTATAAAATATTTTAAAAATCATCTTTTTTGAATTTTGATCATTTCATGAACAGTGATATAATCAGTGTGGATGAATGATTTAAGAGTAGTGCTATATAATACTCACTACTAAACACGGTGAATAAACCACTCATTTTAAACAGATCACGCATATGGAACAGCACCAGACGTGCACCTCCTCCGCCACTTTGTAATCATGAATGTGACGAGCCGCGTTTGTATGTACAGAAGAATTACGCTTAGCGCCGGGTCAATTCGTAACCTATTAACTGGTGCGTTTTATCAATGTTTGCCAGGCAGTAAATAATTTGATGCTTCCACCAATTCAATATCTCAATCATGTTCTTCCGAAAACCGACCATATGGTAAAATTTATGAATAAAAAATTATACATCCCACAAAATGGAACTCCCATAGTGCCATTTATCAAGAGACTCTTCCCAGAAAAAATGCCTTATTGCCCTGTCTTCCGATAATCGCTTTGACCCGAAAAATATTTACTGCCATCGACGCGATCAAGTTCAATAGTCGCGTAGCATCTACTTGTGGTATTTTCCATTCTTTCCTCTCTAACACTATATAATCCGAACAGGACTTCACGACGACAAGTTCCAAAGTCCTTATCTGCCTAACCCTTCCAAACTTTTGCACTTTAATTGATTTAATTTCTCTTTTTTTTTATCTAATTAATTTACAAAATCAAGTGCTCGTTTGATGAGTTCTCCTTCCAATCTGAAGGTCAGATATTGACACGTATATATGTCTCTAGTTAAGCATAGACTTCAACTCAGTCTCCAGCTTCCTGTTCCAGAAGTCAAGATTTCGAATTTCATTCCCTTCATTTATCTCCATAAGTCCATAACGACCGCAAGTCAAGAAGTATCTAACCTTCTGGACTTCGAAAAGCTCTGCGTTTTGGGCCATGGTAACTATGGCACCGTTTACAAGGTGCGCCACAGGCAAACTTCAGCAATCTATGCTCTGAAAGTCATCCGCGGCGACCCTGACGCTAGCCAGCAGCCTTATCAACCGTCCCATGAAATGAAAATCATGATTTCTACCGACTCTCCTTTCATCATCAAATGCCTTGGAGCCTATGAATCACTGGCAGGGGAAAAAGCAATTGTCATGGAGTACATGGATGCAGGAACACTTAGTACGCTTCTTAAAGCTAATGGCCCTTTCTCCGAATCCTCGATTGCCCACATTGCCTATCAAGTTCTTAGTGGCCTCAATTACCTTCATGCGTTCAATATTTTCCACCTGGATATTAAGCCTTCAAATCTGTTGGTTGATAAAAACATGAATGTGAAAATTGGTGATTTTGGTGTCAGCAAGATAATGAGAGAGAGTGACCCACCTGAATACTGGGATATCTATGTGGGTACCTTCGCTTACATGAGCCCGGAAAGATTGGACTCGAATATGTACGATTCCAGGTTTGTGTCTGCAGCGGATATTTGGAGCCTGGGTGTGACTTTATTGGAGCTTTATGTGGGTCATTTCCCATTTCTCCCACCAGGGGAAAAGCCCAATTGGATGCAGCTAGTGTTGATAACACGTTACGGAGAAGCCCCAAGCTTGCCAAAGGAGGCATCAGAGGAGTTGAGGAGCTTTTTCAGTTGTTGCTTGCACAAGGAACCCAACAAGAGATGGACAGCTTTGCAACTTTTGTCACATCCATTCATTTGCGGGAAAGGGAAACTCGAGGATTAGACATTTATATATGTTCATCCTCTTACTTAAAAAACCCGGGAAATCATTCATGTCATCCCATCGCTTTGGTAAGAATACAGGTAGATGAATAGCTCTAGCTGAAATACATAAAATTCATTGAGATAGATTGTAATTCAGTTGTGAACTTTACATGGGAGCTGACTACTCACATTAAGGCTTTTTAGTTTTGGGCTAGGATTAAAGGCCTGGGAAGAACTTGGGGAACATCATGAACAAAAATTAGCATAATAGGGGCAGTTGTATCCGATTCTTCTTTCCTTTTCTTTAATTTGTTCCCACTTCCTGACAAAACAAAGAACAGCAAAAGCGGCAGGCGAAGGAAGCAAGGAACAATCCAAAACCTGAAATATAGTTGTCACGGGGCTATCACGATGGAGAAAGAGACTTGGCTGAAGACATGCTTAGGCAATGGGGAAAATAGTCAATCAGTCAATGTCCGTAGAAGTTATGCAAGAATTTCCTCTTAATGGGAAAATTGACTCATGAACCGGCCTGATACTCGTGGGCTAACAGGATTTGTCAAGGTCAGCTGTATATGAAAATTTTAAGCTTCTTAAAAATAAATGACACCACTCCATTATTTACGCCGTGATTTTATGAAATTTATGCACTTTAATCCTTTATTCTCTCCTACCATGAACTAAGTGTACTTCATATCTGGTGATCAAAAGATTCAACGCATAAGCAGAACATTCTCATAAGTTAATCTAACATGAATATATAAAAGAAAAAAAATATTTAGTAAAAGGATAAATAATATTTCGTGGATAGTCTATCTTTATGTCATGTGTCCATTCTAAATAATAAATATTATGTATCCTACTAATTAAAGTAAAATTTTAATTTCTGTATCAAGAAACTAAATTTACTATATTGATTATTTCCATTTGTATATTTTACCCCTTTAATGCAAAAGTCAAACTAGATTAAGTAAGAATTTCTTATTGTTAACCTAAATGAATATATAAATGATTATTTAGTGTAATAAACACAAAGTTAAAATACTAAATAAGTCTATCAATTATTTCAATTTCTTAAAACAATTCTTTAAAAAAAAAAGGAAAAGGATGAACTAATCCTATAAAAGAAAAAGAAAAAGGTGAGGAGTTGAAAAATGATTTCTTTTGATGATTTCGGTGATTTTGGGTTTTAGCTCGACTACGAGACCTCATTATTAAATCACATCATATGCCACGTAAATAAAAAAAATCAATTCACATTAAGTTTAACAATAATTAATTTTTATTAAAATTAAAAATTTATTTAATTCAAAATAAAATTTAAGAATTCGTTTAAATATAATAAAGAATGAGAGATTAGTTATATAAACAAGTATAATAAATTGATTGTTTTGGGGCTTAAGCCAATTCAAAATTTACCTTATATGATTAATTACTTCTAACTCTACTTGTTTCCCCCTTAAACAGAGGATGTTTTGAAATGTTGTCAATTGCAAAGTTTCTTACTCTCTTGATACGTTTTTGTTAAGGACTTGGTTTCTTTGGTTATTTTAATCATTTTTCTTCATGTCGTTTCCTTCACTTATAATTAGTCTCTATAATTCTCTAATCCTCATTTTTGTTCTCAAAAAGTTTAACTTCTGTTTTTTTAGACCTCCTTGAATTGGTCTATATATATAATATGGTCTTTTTTATTTATTACTATTTGGTAGTTATGTATTTCGACCTCCATGATAAATTATTCAATTTCTTTAATTATTTTGTAAGTCTGTTGTTTTACTGCATTCTAGGATTGTCCATGAGATTAGCTACTTGCTTAAGCTCGAGGGCTCGTCTTCGTGTGCGCCAAGCTCGGACATAGTTTCTTAAGCTCGACTTAACTTGACGTGATTAATTTATTTTATTAAAAAAAATTATATTTTTTCATATATTTAATTATAATATATATTTAAAAAATTAAAACATTATTATATTATATTATTTTAATAAATATAATAATTAAACAAACGGGCCAAGCCGAGCTTGAGCTTGAGCTTGACTTTTAAAATTAGGCTTATTGGGTCCGCATCGAACCCGACCTGGCCTAGCCAATGGACACCTATAAAATCATTTTTATATTATTATTTTTATTCTAAATTCAAAAACTTATCGTAAAAGAAATCATCATTCATGCACATATAAATCCAGTTCGAATAAAAGAAATTTAAAATTATTTGAGAAATAAGAATAATAAAATTTTTATTTTCCATGAAATAAATTTAAAAAATTATAATACACTTTGATATTTATTTTTAAATTTAAAGGAATAATATTTTATTTCAAATCATTATTTTTCCCTCAAATTAAAGAAACTCCTAAAGCCCAATTAGTATTTTATTATTTTTCCCTAATCAATCTCCCTCCGTTAAATACGAATACCAGAAGGCGGCTACTCTACGTGGCAACTTCTCAAGGCCCATTGCAGCCCCACCGCTGCACCAATTTGCCAAAGCATGTGTTTACATTATCCTTTAAATTTAATATTTTAATATTGTTTCCTTCGTGAAGTAAAATAAATTTTCAAGAAAAAATGGAAAATAACCCAAAACAGAAGAGACTCGAGGGAGACTGGTTGGTGGGTAGCTAATCGTATTGTTGTTTTTCAGCGTCTGCATCTTCTTCTCCTTTAGGTAACGACGCGCCATTTGCCTTCGCTGAATTTCCCAAAACTCTTTATACCTCTTATCCTAAGCAAATTCTAATCATACCTTAATCTGAATTAATCTTCACTGTTTCCACTTTAATTTCCTTCTTTTTCCTCCTCTCTCCTAACTTTAGTCGGTTACTCCCGTTATCTTCCTTCTCTTTTTACTATTCTAGGGTTCCGATCGTTTAAAAAAATGCGAGATTCCTTTACTGATCGATTATAGCAAAATCGAACGTCGTTTTAAAATGTCGACTGCGGCCGACGAGGAAGCCGATGCGGTGCTCAGCGACGTGGAATCCGATGAACCTATACCGATTGTCATAAAAGAGCCGTCTCGAGATGACGTGTCGGTCGAGAAATTCCGTGAAATTCTCGCGGAGCTCGAGCGCCAGAAACAAGCACGAGAAGCGACGGAGAATTCGAAATCCGAACTACAAGTCTCGTTTAATCGATTAAAAGCTCTGGCTCACGAGGCGATTAGGAAGCGAGATGAGTGCTCGAGACAACGAGACGAAGCTCTCCGCGAGAAAGAAGAAGCATTGAGATCGAACGAGAACGTATTGGCGCAATTAGCCGAAGCTAATAAGATCAAAGACGATGCTACGAAACAGAGAGAAGATTTGGCGAAGCAATTAGAGGAAGCGACCAAGGGAAAAGATGGATTGCGATCGGAGATCGAGACTTCTGCTCATATGCTTGTTTCTGGTATCGAAAAAATATCTGGAAAAGTTAGTAATTTTAAGAATTTCGCTGCCGGAGGATTGCCGCGATCACAAAAGTACACCGGATTGCCCTCCGTTGCTTATGGAGTAATCAAAAGAACAAATGAGATCGTTGAGGAGCTTGTTAAACAGATCGAAACCACAGCGAAGTCTAGGAATGAAGCGAGAGAGCAGATGGAACAACGGAATTACGAGATTGCCATTGAAGTTTCTCAGCTTGAAGCTACAATAAGTGGATTACGAGAAGAGGTTGCAAAAAAAAGTAATTTAATTGAAACTTTGGAGAAGAATATAGCTGAAAAGGATGGGAAGATTGTGGAGATCGAAAAGGAGATGTCGCAGAAGATTAATTGGGCGGAGAATGAGTCAATGGAGCTAAGGAACTTGGCTAGTGAATATGATGATAAATTGAAAGGTTTGGAATCGAAGATGGAGTTACAGAGGCCGTTACTGGTTGATCAGTTGAATTTCGTGTCACGAATTCATGAAAGGATTTATGATGCTATTAAGCTTGTTGATGCTGATAATATGGATCAGTCAGACGTGTCAGAATCCTTTTTTCTTCCACAAGAGACGGATTTGGAGGAAAATATACGTGCATGTTTGGCAGGGATGGAATCTATCTATGAGTTGGCGAGAATTCTTGTTGGGAAAACAAAGGATTTAGTGGAGGAGAAGAATCATGAAGTGAAGGGTTTAAATGAAACAGTTGGTCGATTGATTAAGGAGAAAGAACATATTGGCTTTTTGCTTAGGAGTGCATTGTCCAAGAGGATGACATCCGAAAATAAATCCAAAACGAATGAGTTGTTTCAAACTGCAGAGAATGGTTTGAGAAAGGCTGGAATTGACTTCAAATTTAGTAAACTTATGGGGGATGGAAATAAAGCTGAAGCTCAGGACTCAGAGCAGGATGAAATATACACTTTGGTTAGTTTTCCTGTTGTCATTGATTTGTCCCAAGTGCTATTTAAGTTTGCATAGTGTTCCAAGGCCTAAATTTCCTTGTTGAGAATTTAATTAATGTAACTTGTACAGGCTGGTGCTTTGGAGAATATTGTCAAAACGTCTCAGCTTGAGATCATTGAATTGCAGCATTCCGTGGAGGAACTAAGGTACTTGTTCTTTCAAACTCATAAAATTGCACAAAACCATGATGTATAACATGCTGCCTTTATATCAAAGTTTGATTCAAGAAAATATGGGGTGGGATAGGTTAAGTTAATATTCAGAGTCATTCGGCATGACTGACCATATGCCATTCTTTTCTGCATATCTTTTTATGTATTAAGGGCAGAATCGAGTGTACTTAAAGAACATGTGGAGGCTCAAGCCAAGGAGATCAACCAGAGGATGCGTCGTATAGAGGAGCTTGAAGAGAAGGAGAGAGTAGCGAATGAAAGCGTAAGTTAACATTTCTTTTGTTGACAGTCAACTGACTTAATGTTAGTTCCCTTTTTTTTTCCGGTGTGCAATTTTTAATTCGTAGGTTTGATCATAAAGGTTAGAAGAAGTGACTAAGCTGCATTCATGCTTCGGTGTTTACATTTGGTGCTGACTTGACCTATTCTTATGAAGGTTGAAGGACTTATGATGGACATTGCTGCTGCCGAGGAAGAAATTTCAAGATGGAAATCAGCAGCGGAGCAGGAGGCTGCTGCAGGAAGAGCTGTTGAACAAGAGTTCTTAACGCAGGTATGTTTGCTAAGTTGCCACAGCATTCGTTAATGGATATGTTATATATTATTGAAGGTGTTTCTGGTGGCAATTTTGAGCAATAATTGTTTTGAAGTTTTGTCAGAGTGATATTTACAATTTAGTGGTAGAATCCGGGAGTTGTTTGAATCTTACTACTTTGCAGATAGACAAGAACAAAAGCAATTAACATTAAATGTGGAAAAGAAAGTATGTGTCGCAATAGTTTTAGAACTATACAGTCTAATGTAGTGAAGGTGTTTCTGGTGGCAATTTTGAGCAATAATCGTTTTGAAGTTTTGCCAGAGTGATTTTTACAATTTAGTGGTAGAATCCAGGAGTTGTTTGAATCTTCCTACTTTGCAGATAGAGAAGAACAAAAGCAATTAACATTAAATGCAGAAAAGAAAGTACGTGTCACAATAGTTTTAGAACTATACAGTCTAATGTAGTGAAGTTGTGCATGTTTAGATTGTAAATGTGATTAAAAACAAATTTTGGCTCCTGTTGGTTATTATCTATATGGCCGGAGATGGGGGGTTGTTGAGCCAGTTGTTTACTAGACATACAGTCAGTCAAAATATGTTTGGATAACTTAAAGTAGCATGACATTTTCCATAGAGCAAAAGCAGGTGAAACTGACAGAAATCTAGAAAGAGAGGATTTTTGATGGATGGTTTTTCTTGAGAAGTATTATTGAATCAACTGACCTGATGACTTGCTGCACTCAAGAAAATAGTTTATTTTATTGTAGAACAAAAGGCTATTATGAAACATGGATCGCAAGTTTGTCCTTTGAAATTCTGGATAGAATTGGTGAAGAGATTTAGGATGTTGTGAATAATATTGGGGAATAGTTACATAAATTAGCCACGTCCTTTTTTTTTTTTAAATTACATCTAAAAATACGAGCAAAATTTTGAGAATAGTACAAATGCTAGTCATGGGGTGGTTATACTTAAATAGTAGTATTTTTCCAGTTCAGGACTGCTGTTCAATATATCATGCACATAGATGGAAGTATGAAGTTATATTGATTATTTGACATTATGCTGTTTTGATATAATTAAGGCTTGTGCTGATGGTATTTTTCTGAGTTCTTTTTCCGGATCTTACGCCTAATAATTATGGTTTAATATATATCTGCAGCTGTCAGCAGTTAAGCAGGAGCTTGAAGAAGCAAAGCAAGCCATGTTGGAATCAGAGAAGAAGCTAAAATTCAAAGAAGAGACGGCTGCTGCTGCCATGGGAGCAAGAGATGCAGCTGAGAAATCGTTGAGGCTGGCTGATATGAGGGCATCCAGGCTGAGGGATAGAGTAGAGGAGCTTAGCCGTCAGCTGGAAGAGTTTGAAACACGGGAAGACTCAAGGGGACGAAATGGGTCAAGATATGTTTGTTGGCCGTGGCAGTGGCTTGGGCTGGATTTTGTAGGGTTTCGTAAACCTGAGATGCAACAACAGAGTTCAAATGAAATGGAGCTTTCTGAACCTCTCTCTGAACCACTTCTCTGATTACAAATTTTTTTACTCTTGTTCCGTGTATTTATTGCAAACTTTCAAGTTCAATATATAAGATCCAAGAAAAGTCAGTTTATAGCAACTTTATTCTTCAAAGCCCCTTCATTTGCAATAATTTTGACATGGCAATTATTTTCTGTTGAGTTGAATCTTTCTTGTTAATGCTTCCATGGTGACCAATGTTTATGATCAAACTCATCCATTTTGTCATTCTCTTGGTTTCCTTTTCAAATCTTTTTTGTTCTTATTGTAGTTGTCGGGTTTTCTCCTTTGTTTTTGCCCCATCTTTCTCTCTCTCTCTTTAATTTCAGGGCCTTTGTCATCTATGGAATGTCAGAGTGGGAAGAGAAATTCTTGTAGTTCGATTCCAACCATTTACACAGGTCAGTAAGAGCAGCTGATTAACTGAGTCTTGATAGCTGTTTTTTCATGTCGCGAGTAGAAAAGTGGAATGGAATTGTCTCATGACAAGGGGAGAGCATTTATGAATTCTCAAATCAAGCAAAGAATTTTAGTTGATGCATGTGGCACAATGAAGTTCTTATATTCTTGGGGTACTTGCAGCTGAAGTGAATATGTTAGTCGCTGATTTATTTGTAATTTGTCTTAATATCATATATGTTGTCAAGATGATGCAGCTCCTACTGTTTCTCTGGAATGTGTATAAACTTAAAGGGAATTCTCCTTCTGTGTTTCCATCCATTCTTCCTCCAGTGGTGTCAATGGGTAATTCTGTAAGTAGATCATTGTTCAACATAGACTTGGTTTTATTTTGGTGCAGTTGATCTTTCTCATGAATGCTTCTTATGTTGCTTAATGATTGCGTTATCTAATATTTCTGCATAACGATGGTACTCATAATATCTATTCATTCTGTTTGCTGGCTGTCTATGTCATCTAATGTAGATTTAATCTCCTTTACAAAAAAATTGAACAGTTGCCTTGGTAACAAGTATAAAGTATGTCCCTTTGTTCAGTTCATTTGAGTTTCCTGTGGCAGCAGCACTCATTCATGGGTTGCTCTGTTTCCTCTGGTAAGACACTATCAAAGCCTGGGGTTCTTGATACCAGAAACATCATATTCAACAGGAAAAAGATCATCTCAGACAAAACAAGTAGGGAAGTTAATGTGAATTTAGCGAATTATAAGAAATTATAGATGGATAGAAATTTTCTGACAACCCCTGCAACTATGCTGTGTTGTGTAAGGTGGAATGCATGTTTCCTGGAGACTAGTTCTTGGTCGCCTGCGTTTTCACCGGGTATCTAGTGTTATTTAAAACAAAAAACAGTGAACTAAAACTTACAAAGTTATGCAAGAGAATTGCAAAAGCAAGATCCACTGTAGTCATTTCCGTGCTTAAAATCAATGGTGGTATTGCGTTAGACCATTCGAGAAGGAACTCTTGTGGATTTTTCCACTTAGTGCTGCTCATATTTTTCCAATTGCAATTCGTTAAGTGAGACATTACTACTCTCGAGCTATTGAAGCAAGTCAAAATCTTGCCTTTGGCAACACGAGGACTTCGGGGCTTTCTACATTGGGCTGGTAATGCAGCAAAGCCTGCTCCAGGCAAGACAAAATTCTTGACTCAATTCAATTTGCTACCACTTGATTCGCGTTTAACAACAGGTGGGCTTTAAATCATTATTTTATAGAGTCTTGAGTAATTTGACAAGTAACTTCACTGGCTTATAACTCCATTGCTGATGTCTTGAAATAAACACTTGGCGAGAAATTTACTGTTCTACAGTCTCGGTTTTGATGAAAATTATTCTCCGTCATCAAACGTATTCTGTGGTGACTGATTGCAGGTCATTTATAGTTTCAAATTTTGTAAACCAGTTGACTCTTAAAATGTTGGAGCTGAATTCAGGTTTTCCTGAATATTTGCTTCACGGTTTAACTCAGCTCAAGCGTTTCACACAAACGAACATATGTTATTGGGGAAAAGCTCATGCAATTCAAGGCTAATATAACAAAGCTAATTATTAGGTCTTGCCTCGTTATTTCCAGCATATTCGACTAATGTTTATTGTGTTTTCGCTCAAATTTAATCCAAGAAATCCCATGGCTGAAATCTGATGAAGTGCAGACTCTTAAAGTGGATAATCAGTTCACTTCATATGATCTTCCAGAGATCGCTGCACCCTGTCAACTGGCACAAGGTGGAGGGCGGTTTTCTTGGAGATAGTAAGACTTGGACCAGCTGCCTCTTCCATGTCAATATCCTTCCCCTTCATTCCGAAGGGCAGTTTCCAATCAAAACAATGCAAGAGATTGGCTAGCGCAAGCTCCACTGTTCTTGTTGCCAAATGCATCCCAGGACAGCTTCTTCGACCGGCACCAAACGGCAAAAACTCACAATGTTGTCCTTTAAAATCAATGGAGCTATCACTAAACCTCTCGGGGAAGAACTCTTCTGCGTTCTTCCAGTACCTTGGGTCTCGACTGATTGCCCAAACATGAATTTGTATCAGCGTTTTGGGAAGAACATCGTAACCGTTGATTCTGAAGTGAGACATGGTTTCTCTCGGAAGTAACAGGGCTCCTGGAGGGTGCAATCTCAGAGTTTCTTTCACCACCATCTTGAGGTATTGAAGCCGATCAATCTCATCTTCGGTAACCATACCATTTTTACCAGCAAAAGTTCTAACTTCATCTTGTGCTTTCTTCATCACTCTTGGATTCCTAGCAAGCTCCGCCATTGCCCAATTGACAGTGGCGGCACTTGTGTCTACTCCAGCTGTAAATAAATCCTGATACACAACACATAAGAATCGTAGGTAGGTGTATGAGAAATCGATTGTTCTCGTTTTTATGATAACAGGTGAATCGGATAAGAAACACAATTACTAAATTGTTCTATAAATATTGTCATTGATATCTCGCTTGAAAAATAAAAAATAAAAATTTATAAAAATTTATTTAATTTAAAATAAAAATATAAGAGTTGTATTAAATATGTATAATAAAAAATAAAAATTTATTTAAATTTATTTAAATAATTTAAAAATATTTTTAAATATTTTGTTAATAAAAGAACACATTGTGAAACAAACTGACTACTTCTGCAAAATCTAATGCTCCTTAGAATTGAATTGGTAAAGAATTTTGTTTTTTCAATGGGACTATAATCCTGTAATTGTACCGGGCAATAGTGATGCACTTGAGTCAAGAATGATTGGGATTAATATGTATGTGTAGGTGAATGTTACAGTGAATCTAATTTTACTGTAAAATCAATAAATAAATTTTTAAAAAAATAATAAAAACCTGTTTAACATGTTAATAGATAAACAATATATATAATTTTTAAATTTATTCATTTTAGGATAACAATGTAGATAATTTTTAAATTTATTTAGTTTATTTAAAAGTTATTTAAGTTTTAATTTTATTTTATTTTTAACTTTAAACTATAAGAATATTATTCTTTTAATATTAAAATTATATTTAATTAATTAATGTAATAAAAATTATTATTATCACTTGTTACATGAACTCTCACATATTTACGTTAAGATTTTAACTTTTTTTATTCCACTTTTATAAGATTTTACATTAATTCTTATAATTTTACGTCAAACCTTTTCAATAGTAACTTTTAACTATAATTATCTTTATCTTTATTATTCTTTATTTAACATAAAAATTTGAATATCGTTACATGCTTTTAGTCCAATAATATAAATATAAATGCATATTTTTCATTAAAATTAGATTTTTTACTTAATTAACTTATTACGTTAATTCTAATACATTACGTTAAAATTAAAATTTATTATTCCACCTTCATAAGTTTTACGTCAATTCTTACAGTTTTACGTTAAAATTTATCTATGACAATTTTGAGCTATAATTATTTTTATTATTATTTAAAAATTAAAATTTATATATCGTTAAACATATTTAGTCAAAGACTATATATTAAATATTTATTTTTCACTAAAATAAAATTTTTTACTCAATTGACTTATTACGTTAACTCTCACATATTACGTTAAGATTTAAAATTTAATATTTCACTTTATAAGTTTTTACGTCAACTGTTACAGTTTTACGTCAAGATTTATCTATGTCAATTTTGAACTACAATTATTTTTTATTATTATATTTTTATTTAAAAATAAAATTTATGATCGTTAAACATTTTTAGTCCTAGATATATATTTAAATATTTATTTATCACTAAAATTAGATTTTTTTTACTAATAAACTTTATTACGTTAACTCTCATAGTTTAGGTTAAGATTTAAAATTTAATTGTTCTATTTTTATAAATTTTTACGTCAATTCTTTAAAATTTTACTTTAAGACTTATCTATGTCAATTTATACTATGATTATTTTTATTCTTATTATTTATTTAAAATTAAAATTTATATATTGTTACATACTTTTAACTCGATAATATAAATATAAATACTTATTTTTCATTAAAATTAGACTTTTTTACTTAATTAACTTATTACATTAACTCTCACATATTTACGTTAAGATTTAAAATTTAGTTATTCCACCTTTATAAGTTTTTACATTAATTCTTACATTTAAGTCAAAATTTATTTATGATAATTTTGAGCTATAATTATTTTATTATTATTTTTTATTTAAAATTTAAATTTATATATCGTTAAATATATTTAACAAAGAATATATATTTAAATATTTACTTTTCACTAAAATTAAAATTTTTTACTCAATTGACTTGTTATGTTAACTTTCACATATTACGTTAAGATTTAAAATTTAATTATTTCACCTTTATAGGTTTTTACGTCAACTGTTACAGTTTTACGTCAAATTTATCTATGTCAATTTTGAACTATAATTATTTTTATTATTATTATTATTTATTTAAAAAATAAAATTTATATATCGTTAAACACTTTTAGTCCAAGAATATATATTTAAATATTTATTTTTTATTAAAATTAGATTTTTTTTACTTAATGGACTTGTTATGTTAAGTCTCATACGTTTACGTTAAGATTTAAAATTTAGTTATTCTACTTTTATAAATTTTTACATTAATTCTTACAGTTTTATGTTAAGACTTATCTATGTCAATTTTATAATATAATTATTTTTATCTTTATTATTTTATTTAAAAATTAAAATTTATATATTGTTACATACTTTTAGCTCGATAATATAAATATAAATACTTATTTTTCATTAAAATTAGACTTTTTTACTTAATTAACTTATTACGTTAACTGTCACATTTACGTTAAGATTTAAAATTTAGTTATTCCACCTTTATAAGTTTGTACGTCAATTCTTACAGTTTTACATTAAAATTTATCTATGACAATTTTGAGCTATAATTATTATTATTATTATTATTATTATTATTATTATTATTATTATTTATTTAAAAATTAAAATTTATATATCATTAAACACATTTAACCAAATAATATATATTTAAATATTTATTTTTTATTAAAATTAGAATTTTTATTACTTAATTGACTTGTTACATTAACTTTCACATATTTACTTTAAAATTTAAAATTTAATTATTCTACCTTTATAGGCTTTTACGTCAACTATTACAGTTTTATGTCAAGATTTATCTATACTAATTTTGAATTATAATTATTTATTTAAAAAATAAAATTTATATATCGTT